TTGTATTATTATTAATAATATTATTACTATTATTATTGTTTATATGTATTATGGATTACATGAATAAGCAGAATACAGCCCGTAACTTCCCCACTGTAGTTTGTGTCTCCTACCACACAGACAAGGCTATAATGAGGGTATCTTTGCCGTACAGCTGGATCCCTAATTGGAATCCAATATGTGACACTTGGGGGTCCATTTATAAAAGTCCCGACGTTCACACAGCACTAGAGCCCCTGGATGGGGCTGATAAGTATAGGATTTTCTATACTCATCAGTGCTATTCAAACTTTTATTAATGACCCCCTTGGCCCTGTAGTGGCACCGTTGAGTAGAACCCGAAATTCTGTTCCTGGCATCTTTACTTTGGTGCAACAAAAAAATATAACAAAGCCACTCGTGATTTAAATTGTAAGTAACCATGCCGTGCGGTTTTAGCTGCCTTCAGTTTCTTCTGGTCCTATGTAAATATCCATTTTGGAAACTCATACATTCATATTAGTCTTCATGGTACAAAATTGTAAGCAAGTCACAATGTTCCTGTGTTGTATTACTGTTTGGCAGCATCCCCTGGCTACAGGTTCACTATAAGTCATTTAGTAGAATCACTGTGTCAGCTTGTACTGATCGACTGTCCTACAAATCGGCAAACAATGTTATCATCCCTGAGTAATGTAGCACAAGCGTAGCATGTAAAAAACCTTTAACGTTTGCTATACTAGACTGTTAAAAAAAAATGTGTGTCTTCATTAAAATCTGTTGTTATTGTTACCAATATATGACTGGGAAAGAAAGACTCTATACAGGGAAACTATGTTGTATTTTAGGATGTAGACATTTTGATAATATCGTAATTCTTAATAACTTTCATGTTTTACATTTACTGTCCCATAATTGGTTATATTATTTTTCGTTTCTTAAAGGAGAACTATGAGGTGAGTGCTTTTCACTCACCTCATAGTTCTAGCCTACCTGTGACAACAGCCATAGAATACAATGGTAGCAGTTACAAATTTTTATGTTGCACGATATTAGCGCAACTCCTTATCAAACCCCAAAAGTTAGTGAAAAATATACTTAAATGCCCCAAAAACACAATAAAATACCAATTTTTAAATAAAATATAAAAGTTGAGGTTACAGCGAGTAAATAGATACACAACATGCCCAGGTTAAAAATTGTGTGCATCAGCGATAAAGCTCAGTACCCCAAAAAGTCCATGGATGACGCCTTAAAAGCCCCCACAGCTCATCAATTTAGAGATATCCAACTGGCCCCAGAATTATTGATCTCACTCCGGCATGCAGGCAATACCCAACATGTATAGCGTGTTCGTCGTTTTCATACGTAGGCACACCCAACGCGTGTTTACGTGGCGATGCACGTGCTCGCGGGGGCGGGGGACTTTAAGCATTTTTACAATTATTTTTATATTTATTTTATTTCATTTTAATTTAAAAAACTTTAATTTTTTATTTTTTTACTTTACTTTGATTGCTATCACATAAAGGGGGCTTACAAGCCCCCCATGTGATAGCAGATGGTGGTGACAGGTACATTTAAAATTCACAGCAAATCCAGTATAACAGTGAAAAAAGTGTATAAAGCAACAAATGGCAGCACTGCACACGCCCAACCAGTTACAACCTCTCACATGATTCACCCATGAATCACCCGTGAATCATGTGAGAGGTTGTAACTGGTTGGTGGTGTGCAGTGCTGGCATTTGTTTCTTTATACACTTTTTTCACTGTTATACTGGATTTGGTGTGAATTTTAATAAAGTCTGAAGTATTGGAATTCTCTGGATAGTGCTGTCTGTTCGTATACTACTCCAAACCATTATAGTTGCCCTTCAATGACTGCTAAGGGAACCCTGCCTTATGGATCCAGTCACATCTGACCCATAGACCTGCACCAAGAGAAAGAACAATATAGCACACCTAGTGTACAGCATTAATAAGTAGATCATACAGACTGATATAGTAGCTCACATTTGCAGATCTATGTATATAAATTATAGGCTGAAGCAAGGGTTGCCCCTTACATAAATACATGAAAGAAACTGTATACATGTGGTAGTTTCCCTTTCAAGGACTGGGCCAATCAAACCCAGCATTCCCACCTTAGGGAAATGTCAGGGGTTCAATCACTGACTTTCTGTATCTTTCAAGTTTCTCCCTGTAAAAGAGTCACAGCCAACACTTTAAATGGCCGCAATGCTGAATAGGCAGTGTGCGCGTGCGCACACCGGCCCCTTCGGCATTTGCCTCCCGAGCATCATTCAAACCAGCCGAAAATCGTACGATTTTCGGCTAGTTTTCTAGCATGCTCCTTAGACAAAAGACGTGCGACCGTACATTAGAAACGGTTGCACGTCTTCATCCACACTGCACGATTCTCGTACAATCGCGGGATTTCCCACGATTCTCGTACGAGAATCGTGCAGTGTATGGGCACCTTAAGGCTCACAAGGCACAAGGCTTTAACTCATGAGTTATTTGCTATAATAATTGCTTTCAGCTTTCATTGGCTGATATGCTGAAAATAGCAGTCATTATGTCCAGTAATCATTATTGTTTAGTATATTGAGCCTTAAGCTGGGCACACACCTTACAACCATCGCAAGACTTTTGTCTTGCGATGGTTGTAAGGTACTTAAAAAAACGTACGATCTGCCTATGTTGCATAGGCAGATCGTACTTGCGATGATCGCAAGCCACGCCCCCTGAGGGGCGGGCTTCCGATGACCGCAATGCCGAACGGGCAGTGTGCGCTTGCGCACACCGGCCCGTACGGCTGTTATCGTACGGACATGCCACAAACCCGCCGAACATCGTACGATGCTCGGCGGGTTTTCAAACATGTCCATAAGTTAAAAGTCGTGCGACCTTAGAGTAGTAGAGGTCGCATGGCTTCCACATACCTTACGATCATCGTACGATCGCGGGATTTCCCGCGATTATCGTACGATAATCGTAAGGTGTGTGGGGACCCTTATGCTAGGAAAGAGACAATGTTAGCCAATTCTGTTTTAATAAAAGACAGATAATAGATCCCCAGATAGCAAGGATAACATGCCACAAACCTGTGGCAGGGTTAAATTGTAATTCTTGTTAACTTGCTGCACATATTCCTGGCAAGTTGTAGACTTGCAGAACACTCAAAGCACAAGCAAATTTGCTTGGCAAGTCTACAGCAAGAGTCCTGCAGGTCTTAGCAAGAGCTCTGCAAGCTCGCTGGTCTGGAGACATGCAATGCAGACTTGCTGTAATTGTGCAACAAAATTGTGAAGCTTGGCAAGTCTGCAATAGTTTAGCAAGTCATTTTCAAACTTGCAGCACAATTGCTTGCTATCTGGGTCCTTACCTAATATGTTGCAATGTTCATTTTGCCTAAGCAGTACCAGAAATCTCACAACTGTATATCTGCCAGGTGAGATCTAAGGCAGTGCTGCCTCTGACTGCTCGTCTCACATGAACTGGTAATGTCACTACTGTGCTCATACCTCCCAACTTTCTGAGATGAGAAAGAGGGACAACGTCCAGAACAATGTATTTAGGCAATTGACACACTGCTTTCACGCCTCCAGTTATGCGGACTATTAAATATCTATATGCCAAAAATGATTGGTTAAACCCAAGGTCAAACAAGATAATTAAGAGATAGGATAAATGTTTTAGAGTAGTTTAACACTTTTG